CATTTTATGGATCGCCTGGTACGCACAAGAGCCGCGGGTGTGATAGGCTCCCATCTAGTAACAGCAGAAGTCCGACGCCGAGCTGCCTGTGGCCTTCATGAAACTCTTCTTGAACGGTGGGTTCGAGTTCGGCACCACAGCGCAGGACTTTCGCGATCGGGTCTTAGCTGTGAGGTAAAAGGCTGAGGAAATGGGCTCGCGTTCTTAGCCGAGCGGAGGATAACGTTGCGAGGCTCAGCCGCTGTCCTCAAGCATATTCGCACCATAGACCACTCAGGCTATCTCAACCGCAAAATCGAGGGCCATCAGCGTCTACTTTAGACGCCTGCCATCAATAATCCGGCTTCTGGATACACACAAACGTCCAAGAAGTAGTTAGCAAGTAAGCCAAACAGCATCTAGAAAACAGCGTAAGCAAGTTATCACAACGGTTGGATTTGAGCCAACATTCTCTGGGCTCCCTAGACAATGAATCGTTTTGTCGTAAGGAAGGAGAGGGGGCTGCTTAATGTGGACGGACTGTACGGATTGTACGGTCTCATAGGCGGAGTCAGAACCATCCTACAGCCTGCGTCCACCTTACCGCCCTCCAAGAGAGTTTGACACGCCAGACCCGGAAGCCGACATCGCAAGTATTGACCAAGTACATAATATGCACGTATATTATGCGTGAAGAGGATTAAAGGCCAGGTAGCTTGATCCCGTTACCCCTGTATCCGCAGTGGTTATACAAATACTATCCAACATTCTGACTGACTGGTGCACCGACGCATCGCTACACCTAGGGCTTCTTTCGGCATTCTCGAAAGACCAAGTTTGCATGATAATCTAGCCACCACTACAGAAGGGAGACCCCCACTTCAATCTAATTGAAGTAGGGACTGTATGGTAGCAGAATCAAAAGCAGCGCTCTGGTAGCATGTTCGAGAGCTTGTAGCCCCTCGTGCATGTGATTTTAGCAACAATGGATTGAGCAATCGGTTTCTTTAACACATCGTGGAAAGTTTTGCGCGAGAAAGTATCTTCCAAGCAATCCCAGGCAAAAAAATCGGTGGCGTCCATTGCAGCAAGCACGGACAGTCCCACGCCTCTAGAAAACGGAACACGCACGGCGGTGGTCGTGTTACGTGCAGACCATCCATGGCAACGTAGTACAGATCTATCCAGAATGTACAAAATTAGAAGTCAATCAACAGCTGCGTATTATGCAATAATAAACTCTAAATTGCCTTTTATTTCTTGGCGAGTCGTCTACAAATTCGAGCTGATCAGGACAGCTGTAGAATGGCGAAAGTCGAGGAACGTATTCCTTACGCTCCCGAGGCAAACTCTTTGATGCTCGCTTTGGTAATGCTTTTTTTGCGTCAGCCCAAGGTCAATGCGCAACGCCCGAGAAATGTTTGCATCGGAAAAAGACACACCTGTAAAAAAACGCATCTAAATAACTTCACGCAATTCTTCGAATAAAAATGGTGATTTTCCACATATGCAGATACAAACTCACATAGACGATTTGGCTACTTTGTCGTCTTCTCAGCCGGAGATTGCTTGTCGACGTTTCCTGTCAGAGCAAACCTTTGGTACCATCTTATAAGAGTACGACCAGATATTCCACGTAGTGTTCCCACAAGGCTCAGCTTAGCATTATACACGTAAGCTAGAACTATAGCACGCCATCTCAGATCAAGTGAAAAATCATTCTTTGTATCCACGATCCTGGTATTTGAGCCCAAAAGCCCGAATGCCGCACTTCGCGATGACAAACGGAGATTTGAGTGGCCGATAAGAGAAGGTACCTTAATTGGACGTGCTCGATATATTAACGTTGTTCAAAGTAAATTGGACATTACAAGTTACTGGATGAAGAAAGGATGGCGAGCCCCAGTAGAAAAAAAATACATCTGGTTTCGGAACAAAATTGTCGGAAAAGGGGAAGTCCCTTTGGTCCAAAAATATATTCCAGTGGAACAATGCTTATTCCACTGGAAGTTTTAAAAAATTCTTTGGTAATATGTCCGTCATTCACTCGAACTTTATCAAAAAGGTCGTTCCAAAGGTCGCGCTATTGCAACAGCTAAAGTTTTCTATTCGCCGAAAAGCTCGATATCACACCGTACTAATGATTCCACCGGAGTAGTATGCTTTATGTAAGGATCCTGTCAAACTAGAAACTACATCCTGTCTGACAATAAAATCAATTTACAAGAGAAAAATGATCCGATACAAGCGTCTGAAAGTCGCCGGAGGTCCTGACCAATCAGTTTGTCAACAGTTTCTTAATAGCACTCAGAAATGGCAATTTAATGATACTGTTATCCACTGAACAAAAAAATCCGCCTCAACACAAATAATTCGTCGAATAGTAGCTATGCTCAGTCTGTTGTAACAATTGTTGTTACAACAGACTGAGCATAATACTTAGTCAAGTTCCTGTCCTACAAACTGTATTGTCTAGGGGAGGTTACTCTTTACTCGCGGCTACTTGAATTTATCTGTAAAAGGAAGTGTATTATTGTAACAAACTAGCATTATTATTATAAAAGTACACATTTTACAGAATAGTATTACTACCAGCTCAGTATCAATTTCAGTGAAAACCACTAAAATATGGGAATTCCTTTCCCTATTCATTTTAAGTCGAGCATCAGGTTAAGTGAAAAGGACAAAATGCACAAGTACGGTAATAACAGGATACTAAATAAAACAGTGACACTCTTATAAATATTGTGCAGTACCGGTGTGCTCAGCATATGTATCGGTACTTTTAGGGTTAGTTCTCTACTGAGCATGTACAGTACTGCACCCCGTTTTCGCGGGGGTGGACAATATAGGATTTGCAAATAAATCAGATTTTACCATACGAAGTATTGTTCTTTAGGATTCTGGCTCATCACATCCGGAAGTTTATCAAAGGTCCAAGGGCCGAAAACGGGGTGCAGTACTGTATAAATTACCGGTAAACGGTTTTGTACTATGTACATGTATCAGCTTGTGTATCTCACGTAAAGACGAAGAGCGAACCAAGATTGGCCCCGCCCAACTCTGTTCGTACACGGGAAAATCTTTGAGGATCGGGGCTTCAGATCGAGGCGTGAAAGTCATGCGAACGCACCCAAAAGTCTCACAAAAAGCTGATCCAAAAAGAGAGCTCTTTTAGAAACGGTCCTAAAATCATTTTTTAAAACACTGAGTGCAAAACAATTTAATTTTGCTTTGTACTATGTGCGTGTGATTTTTTTCTTCATTTGGACATTGATGGAGGTGCTGCAAAGATCATGCAGAAGCAGAGGGGCAATGCAGCGCCTATGTGCAAAAAGCAATTAACTTCGCAGACATGATTGTGATTTCTACTATTCTCTAACTAGCTGTTAGTGGTGTTTGCAAACATGTTCATGTGTTTGCGCATCTTACAACTCTAAAAAATCTATTTGGTCAATTGTCTTTGCAGGCAGCGTGCAGTGGCACAAACTTAACTGCTACTGCGTCTATTACATGTTAGCAATATATATATAACACTAAGAAGCATGTATTTTAACAGTACAGTTAGCGTTTGTGCGACAACTAGCAAAACGGGGTTGCCACAACTTATTATAATGCCATCACCTTATTTTACAAGTAAATAGCTTTGACTGAAAAAAACTGCTTTAGAAATCTTTCTTTAAAAATTGGACGGAATACTCCGCAACATTTAAAATTATAATACTTAAGCGCTAGAGCGACGACACAAATAACATTAAAACCAAGCGTCTGGATTTTGACAAAAGTAGCTAGTAAAAACAAATTTGTAGTGTGATACTTTGGATTTAAAAAAAATGAAATGTACGCCCGTATTTCAGCTATAATGAACAAAATAGAGACATTAAACTATAACGTGCGTTTAGGTATTTCGACGTTTAATAAAAGATACTTTTTTAAATCAAGAACTTTCTACTTTAATAAAGCAGAGAAAGTCGTAGTACTGTAATTGTAACGCTGCCACACCCGATAACATGGTCAGCTATTAGCTTAATTTTGGTGAAGATGTCCTCTTTATTAATAGCCTCCGTACGTTCATCTCTACTATTTACTGTACTGTAGACCCTTCACGCTAATCCCTGACTAATTGTGGTGTATAGGTCGAAGCCGATATGAATAATTTTGATGTAAGTTCCATTCGAAGCAGCCATCTTATGATTCGTTCGGTCCTGGGCGACGACACATCTGCCCGTGCAACGGAATTGGCAAATAGGCAACGAAGATACTTGATATCTCATAGGGTACAAACAGCAGCTATAGGACTTGAGCAGCACTGCATCATAGTATTCGATTTTAGCAATATGTAGGGTATTAATTTAGCCTAGGCTCTGTTGTGATAAGAATACAAAGTAAGGAGGGGGGGGGGCTGATGCTGTGCTTGCCCTGGGCACTACCGGCGCTAACTAAATAAAATAGAACATGTAGTTAATGAATGTTGTTCGGAGAAAGAGAAACCCAAACGTTGCCTTGAGGCTAGACACACTATTGCTACAAATAAATATATTAAATGAGATCCATGTAGTATAAGACCAGCACGCCAAGTATCTTAAGCGCATGCGTTGTTTTGTTCAAATGGACCTCCATTGCATCTTCGTTTTTGTTTTGTACTTCGTGTTTTTGATAAATTTGGTTTAATTCCAACCTGACCATTTCTAAAATTGATCATTTACCAAGGTGAGGTGACCGTTTCTATTTACAGAGTGGCTCTCTTTTTGGAGCAATTTTTAATGAGACGTATTTTTTGGGTACGTTCGCATGCATAGATTTCCTTCGTTCAGGGACGGTACCGTAATACTGTACGTTGGATGGTACATTATGGTAAGCCCATGGCCTATGGCATAGTCCCTATGATAGGGCTTACCAGAGTGCTGGTGTTCAGTGCTTCAAGCACTGCAGCCTGCTCACTTTGCAATCCGCCCGCATCAACTTAACTTGACTCCGACTCGATTCCGATCAAAATAGTCATGTTCTCCGCAATTTTCAGGATGGTGGCACTCGCGTCGGCGTTTGTCGCCGACCCGGTGATTGCTGCCGATAAGCCGCTCCCTTGGGATGGTCGCGCGTACGACCTGACCGTCGAGACGTTGCCGGAGAAGTACCTGACGCACATCCTGACCATGCGCAACAACGGCACGGACGGAAAGGTTTCGGACTACGTTTCAATCGACAAGGGTGGTCGCTTGCCCGCCTACAATGGTGACACGGGCGTCATCAACATTGGCGTGGACGCGAAGGCCATTTTCAAAACCCAGACTAATTTCCGACGCTCCGAACTCGTCCAGAATGTTGCCGCCAACACGAAGGGTTCAACCTTCTTTCGTACCAGTGTCATGAAAGAGGAGGCCTTCCTCAACCCGTACGCGTGGCAAATGGTCTTCCCGGAGTCGCACATCTTCGAGATCCGTGTCGACGCCACGGTCAAACCCGCTAAAATCATCTATCTTACCAATGGCACCTATGACGCCAAGTGGGAAACAGAGTTCGTGCCCGGGACGTGGTATAACTTCGGCATCGGTGTTTCGCCCGCCGCTTCCGGTAGCGGATCTGTGCTGGAGTTCTACACGAGTGAGGGCGACAAGAAACTGGTGCGTAAGGCCAAGCACACATTTGCCATGGAATTGCCCACGACCCACGAATTCCACATTGGCCTCCTTACACTGTCGAACGACGGCAGCGAGCCGAAGATAAACGCGAAACAAGACATCGTGTCGTACAACGGTGTGTCTGTGGATGCGAAGGTGTCGAAGTAAATACATGAGCCGGTACTTGTACTTCGGGTCAGTCACGGCTATACTGGTGGTGCAGAAAAAAATTAAGGTCGTTGTTTTCTTTCAAGCTATTATTATTTTAAAAGCGTCTAAGAAAAAATGACTTAGTTATCTTTCTACGGACTACAAGTGGCTTTCTCTAAGGGAAAATGTCAAAACGTGTATGAGTACACCAAAGGTCTGCCAAAAGAATTACTACATGTAGATACGGATGGGGATGACCTTTGAGAGTGCGTCGAAAGCTCTGTACGTACCTTTCGTGACTACACGACTATAAATTAACTGTATTATAGTCTTGTAGTCATCGTAGTGAGCCGGTAAGTTCTCTTGGAGTCCTAGACGATAGTACGGCGAGCCATGTAGCTCGTGACCTTGGCCGGTGGTGGGTGGTGGCCGGCCTTTGTAGAGCGGCGTGTTGGGCGTTATTAATAGAAGGGCGGACGTTTCTCACTCAAAACATGGTGCTTCTGGACCAAAATAACATGAACAGCCAATCTTTGTGGACTGCCTATTAAAAACCACGGCTTTGGACAAAACTGTGTCAGTTCGTGTGCCGGTATGAAACGTGGTTTGCTCCTGTGCAAAGTTCACTTGTAGCTAAGCCCCCACCCCCACCCCACCCCCATCACCCAACTCTTCTTCTCCTATGTCGTCAGCCATTTTCGTGCCCCTCAGTCGGAAACTGCGAATATGACACTTCTAACAGCCTCAACCAGCTGTGACGCATACCGCTATATACCGGTTTTATGGCAGCCCGCTCACTCTCAGCCAGATAATAACCAGCATTGTTCATACACCTACTGACACCCCTTTACGCGGTATCACATACTGTCAAAACCGATTATTTCAAAACACACCTTCTGCTTTCTCTGAGATTTGACAAAAATAATACCAGGTCGTGAGCTCGTAGTAATAGATTTTTTTTAAATATGAAGTAGTACTACTTTGATCTTACAATATCACATTTCTGCTTACGATAATGCAATATTGTTTTTAAAAAGTTAAATTACCGCGAGTACAGAGTAAATTCCCAGACAATACAGTCTGTAGAACAACTACAGACAATCCCCTCGGCAGCACCCCTAGACACTTTCAATACCAATAATTATGGGGGCCCCCGATGACCAGCAGCATACAAACGTAAGTTAATTTCACCTCTTTCCCCCTCATGTGTAAAGTAGGATTCAATTTCAAGCAGATACAGTATTCATATTTCGGGGTGCTTAACTATGAGAAAGTCTCAATTGGACAGGACGCCGAATAAATCCTCTTATTGTGCCTTTCTGCCAATATACCCTCCGAGTTAGGGGACCTCCGCTCCTACTAGAGTTCCTGGAGTTGGAGTAAGGAATATCTTAGCAAAAATCCGGATTGGCCAATAATAGATTTCATTTTGAGACTCTCCAATAATTAACTTCAGTGTAGTTATGAGGGGTCGCTTTAGCTCCAAGGAATCTATTTTTGGAGCGACGATTCGTATCCCTCGATTAGCTCCATTACCTCGGATAGCTCCAAAAACTACAGTGATCTACCAAACCTACCCTGGAGGCCAGTAAAGCTTAGGCAGTAACATAAAATGTGAAGTACTTAACTTTCAGTGAGGCAGCACGCTCTCTTCTAGCCTAGCAATTATCGAACTGCAGTATGATACCAAGTACTTAACCCCTCTGTTACCGCAATTGGAGTCTCTGAACGCGCAAACCTTACGTCGTAACTTACGACGTTATAATAACAATAATATTGTAAAGGGATGCCCCTTTTCCCATCGGATCGTCGATGGTGAATAAACTTTTGAAGTGTATGGCCCTCATATATCGTATACTTACGACTTCTCCTCAACGACAGCGCATAGCGAGGTCTAATCTTACGACTTTCACTTAAGCCTGATTCAACCACCCACGCACAAAATCAATTACATAAAACAACAGCACTCAAGGTACTACATGTACATGCAGAACCCCGTTTTCTGGTAATTTCAAACGTTAGCTACATACACAGTTTTGCCCTCATCCTTAGCATCGCCTTCCTCTTCCCGCAGCAGCTCACGACGTGTTTTCTTGCGCGCTTCGAGCTTGATCGGACGTCGAAACACAACTCGTTTTCCTAGTGACTCTCGGATTATTTTTCCGCACTCAAAATCTTCATGCCAAATCTGGAAGCAGGTTTTCGTGATACCATTGTACTCACGTCGGGCTTCCCGGCAGAGGAAAAATTTGGCGTCACCGCTAGAGCAGTCTTCGCAATAAAATGTCGTCTGGAAAGATTTTTTTCTCTCGCCGCGAAGAAGTGCGCATACCTTACATGCACTGTCTGCGCTTTTGAACGCCGGACACAATCACCAAGTCATCGTACTGTTGGTAGATGTGCTGTGGAAGGCGGCGACGTTTTCGCATTGAGGGAGCGCATGACTGCGGAGCTGCTATGAAATCCAAGGCGAAATCTTCCGAATTTAACTGCAGGAGCTGGTTGTGAAGGACGGCCATCCACAAAGCACAAGACATTGGTGCAGCTCTCGTCATCCGGCATACCTCCTGTGTATGACAAAAGCATTCACAATCGCCAGATCTAGAAAGCCTAACAATAAGGACTTCTAGTACTTTCAAAACGATACCACTCTGTTCCATCTCAAATCTAACACTTCTCCTTTGCTGACATATTTGTTAAGCTAATGGTGTGATTTAGCTAAACGAGCCCACTACGGAAAGCCCTGCCTTAGCTCTATAAAGCAGTATTTTTTTGGTAGATCATAGTCAAACAGCAGCGAAGTACAGAGCAAAAGGGCGTCATTCGTTTTGACGGGGTGGACGTCTGGTTTCGCAGTGGGCTTTTCAGTGTTGGAAAATTGCTGAGGTTTTCAGAAGAGATCGATTTTTTTACGGTCTTACAAGATGTGAAAACAGTTCTTCAAAAGCTGCTGTCTGTGCCGCGTTTTCCTGAAAAACGCTTTTGACCAATTACATCTATGTATTTACAATCTGACAAATTTTAGATCTCGCAAAAGGTGAAAATAAATAAAACAAGGTGTGTAGAAAAGAGTTCATCATAAAATAAAAGATACTAATTTTGAGTTGGTGGCCCTTCATTTTTTTAAGTGTCTCCTGGCCCTTTTTGCCAAAGGGTCGCAAGGCAATGAGGTTGGAAGCACTCCGTTGCGAATGTGGTGCTTCGAAACTCGGGGGAGTTTGTATGTATCACACGCAATGACAGATTCTGGTATTTTTTGTGCTGTCAAAAAGCACTTATCTATAGTCCTACTAGAGAGATCACAGTAAGTTTTTTCAGCTTACGCAATTAAAGCATCGATCTTGTACGTTGGTGTGCGGTATTGAGCCGACTGTAGCAAGTTAGACAGACCCAATTCGAGTACGTTCATATCGTGCGACTTAGCTGGCTGGTATTTGATAGCGATGTTGACAACATCAACATTTGTTGTGCCTGCCGTTAGAGCGATCAGACGGCAGCACATCATGCTTATCTGCACAGCTGACACGTATTATGTAGCTGGTAGCCACAAATTAGAAAATAGCAAATCTCAATTCTTAGCCTAATAATAGCCAATGATATCATTTATTTTTGTGCGGTCGCTCGTTGCGTTAGATTTGAGATGGAACAGAGTAGATAGCCATTTGAATCGAGGAGGGCTGCAAGCGGATTTGATCGTATATGTCGACTCCGCCCTAGCTTGGGACACCTCACGGTTATCGCCCCAATTCGCTTCACGTTGCGCTGAATGGTGTCATCCTCCATCGATGCACCCGTGGTCAAATAATGCACTGGCTTTCTGTCCAACCAGTGGCAGGCAACCATTGTAGGCGCTGCCTCGCAGCGCGAGAACGTAAATGTTCCTCTCTCAACTCCACGAGGCCGCGTCCGACGGCCTTCAACGACTTGGTTGTCAAATCCAATGCGGTTCTTCATGATTGTTCCGAGTACGTAGATAGACATGCTGAGGAGCTGTAATGCCAGCGCTACTGACGAATAATACCGATCAACAGCGACAATTCGAAATACACTGGAGCATTCTCCAAGTAAAACTTTCATGTTGCGTACGACGGCAGCCGCACCTGTCTTGTTGTCGGTACTGGTGGAGTTTTCGTCAGCTGATTCTCGAGCTCCAGCATAGAGCTCAAACCTACAACGGTAAGTTATATGTTAGTCTTTCGAAATTGCTAGAGATGTCATAAGTTATGACTTTGAGACATGGCTAAGAGCACACCTGTGGCAATAAGCTGTCTTTGAGTCGCAAACCATAAATAGTTTGGTACCGTACCGATGAGGTTTATCTGACGTAAACATCCGCGTAGTGTTCCGCCGAGACGCTGCTAGAAAAACGCCTTCATGGAGCGGAAACACTGCTGGCAGTGTTCAGCCGGATTGGAAGTGCTGCTGCAGGACATCTGCGACCCGGCGCAGCATCCACATTTTGTCTCGCGTGCGGGGAGCATCGCTGTTTGTGAAGTGTATATCACGTAGGATTGCTGTACATCGGCTGCGTGGCATATATTTGGCAAAGGGTACCAGCTGGTAAAGCTCCGTCATGCATCATCGCTCAGTGCCTCGAGAGAGGTTGCTTGTAAGGGCATCACATATGTGTAACAAGCAGTCCGATCGCATGCAAGATTTCGCACATACCGTACGCCTTCGCAGCCCTTAGACGCCGTCGTATCTGCAACAGTGTTTCTGTTGACGCGATATGGTTGCTACGTCTCTGACTTGCGCGTATTTTCTTAGCTTCGGAATCAATGTTCTGGGCCCGATAGCGGTTGGTTTCAGTCGCGATGTCGATCCATAACTGTTTTGACATGAAGTAGAACAGCAAACCTAG